TGCTCTTCCGAACTCATTCCTCCTCCTCCTCCTCGAGGGTTTCGGTTTACGAGTCTTTAAGGTTCTCATCAGGGGAGAGAGAGAGAGAGAGAAGCCAGGCAGAGACGACGGGGTTTTAATGGTATATGTAAGGCTAGTGATATGGAAAGGGTCTTAGAGTTTTGGTTTTATTACGAGAGTGCCACTGATGGCAATTTTGTGTGGTTTGTCGTATGGTATTCCGTGGGTCTCTCTGTCTGGCCTTTTGGCCGGGGAAATAAACAAGGCACCGGAGATAAATCTCACTGTCGATCCATCCGTCACGCATTCGTTGGCAAATATCTGCAAGGGGCATTTATGGAAACATAAAACAATAACTGCCCTTTTCTCTTTGCACATTTCCCAAATATATATATATATATATGTGTATTGAATTTTGTTTGGGATCCTTTTAGGTATTAATCAATCATATGTACACAGTCTCTATAGATTATTAAAAAAAACACCTTTGTTTTCAGAGTGTACGGAGGGGAATGGCGAGACCGTAAATAAGCGGAAAAGTGAGACCCAATCTGGAAAATTTAAATAAAAGGAAGAAAAAGGAGGGAGTGCGCATTTTGGCAGTGAAAAAGCAGAGAGCCTCCTGACTGACCCTCTCTCCCTGTGAACACCCACATGCCAAGTTCCATCTCCCTCCATTTACTATTTTGCCCCTCGTTTTGTCTTTCACAGTCACACACGTCTCTATCCCAAATCACACTTGCCCCGATCTTGGATTTAGTAACACTCTCTTCGTAAAAATCAGTCCTCTTCGTTTGAATTAATTTGTATAAAACATATATTAATTTCGCGAGATTTTAATACAACCAAGCTAATATTAATTTCACGACATTGAACGTGTCAATCATTAGGTCAGACTCATAAAGCAATATTTATTTTTGGAGGATAATTTTTTTTTTTAAAAAAAAAGAGATGAAGGGGCAAGTTAATAATTTAAGTGCGGAGAGAAATAACGTGGGAGGGGATAGAGAGAGAGAGAGGTGTAATAAAGGGTTGTGTGGCCTCCGTAGAGGGTGCATGTGAAGGTGATATGGGCCACCAAATCCTTCTTTGTAGTTGTCGTCGTAGGGACCTTTTATATATAATTATATATGTATACGCCCTCAATCTAATTTTAAAATTCATATATTGGGAAAACAAGATTCATAAGATTAGCCCTTTTTTTTATATAGTTTAGATCTATGAGTTACCTGGCTTACTAGTCACATAAAAATTTAAATATATATGTCATTGGTTTATATACCAAGGTCTACATATTTCTAAACACTATTTTTTTTTAGTGCTTGCTATTTGTTTAGACCGGATTTGATTTATAGAAGAAAAAAAACTAGATGTAATCGGAAGGTGAATTAATGTTGAGTTCAAAAGGGGAGATAAGAGAAGGGGCATGTGAAGGCACATGGACAGAGACGCACAATGAAATGTTCTGCACATTCCCTGCATGCTCTTCCTCCTACGCATGCTTCTCTCTCTCTCACTCTCTCTACCGTATTTTTTTTTAAAATTATTACTATTACAAAATATTTCCATTTTCTTAAATCATAATATATATATATATATATAAGTAATTACAAAAGGGTTCTTTTTAAAAAAATAAAATAAACGGGTTTGCTTTCAATGCTCTAATTGTTTTTTTTTTGTTGAAATGTAATTGTTATATTACTACCAAAAAATAACCCAAAAGTTTACATAAGTTTCACATGTACAAAAGATTTCAAAAGGCAGTGATTCCTAATGCTCTAATTGTTATTCACGTCATGTGTGGCATTTTGTCCACGTGATTCTTTCATTTTTTTTAGTACTCCACGTGATTCTTTCTTTGATTCGACTTTCAAAATATTTTATTATTATTATTATTATTATTATTATTATTAATATGGCGATTATTCTGCAAACCTTTTGTTGCAAAATATACGGAACGTACGTGGTTTTTGTTTTTGTGCGTGGATTGGATCATATATAGGGTTTAGGTGAAGGTATACAAGACTGATGGGCTGTAATTAATCATGAAGAATGTTTCATTCATAACTTTTTTTTCAAACGCCATATGTGTAGGATGTGTATGTGTAGAGAATATAGATTGGAAAACTTACGAAATTAAATGCCCATTAGCTGATATATCAAGATACATTATTAAATAGATATATAATCACACATTCATGTTCACACCCACACCCACACCCACACCCATAATTAATAGATGCATACACACATATAAACATACATGTATATGTATATCAAGTTTTTGGCATTTGTGAGTGTGGGAGTGAGGGACAATATGATGGGTGAAGGTCCAACACAATGTTTTAACGCAACACATTACAACGGAATAGATGTTGACCACACATCTTTTCATTCCTTTTGCGCTCTCTCTCTCTCTCTCTCTCTCTCTCTACAAAAAAAATAATAATAATAACCCACCAAACCAAATCCTCCTCTCTTAAATATTCTTCTCTATTTGGTAGTCTATACTATCATGCTGTCTGCATGTCACATGCATATATATATGATTCCAGCCACATATTTGTACATATATACTTATGTTACATGTCACATGTCACATGTCACATGTCACGTCCTTTTAACAATTGTTATGCGTAGGATCTTTATTTGCCCAACCAAAATCTCATCATCATGATCATGATCGTGTTCATATTAGTTGTCTCCATGTTTTGCCGAATAATTAGTCGAACGAGATTTCGTATGTTAAACATTGGTTTTAACTTTCTAAATGGCGGTGGTCTTTTTTTTTCTTCTTCTTTATTTCAACATACACCCATATTGAACACTTTTCAAATATCTTGATTTGTAATTAGCATGTCTATATGTAACTAAAATGAAATTAACAAATACACTCGGATCAAAGCAACAGGACCAACCAAATGCAAAAGTTCATACTTTTTCGTATATATATGTCCATGTGATGTTTTTTTTTTCCCTCTATACTTTCACTTTATTCCCTTTTTTTTAGGGCATTGTGATTTTGGGTGGGTGGCCAAATAGGGAGCCCTGCCCCTGTAACATGCCTTGTCTCGCATGCTACACTATTTTTGTCATCTTTCCACTATTATTATTATTATTATTATTATTATTATTATTATTATTATTAGAGCGGGCCGTGTAAATTTGGGCTTGCACAGTAGAGTTGTAGTCTAGGCCCAGTTATAAGTTTGTGGGCCAGGACCCATTGAACGAGTTTCTCTTCGCTCCACGCCGCCGTTAGCCTTGAAGTCTTCGATGGGTTTCTACCAAATTTCTTCCATTTCCGATCAAACCTTTTCGTTTGTGGGCTTCGAATTGAACGCAGGTTTCTGAGCCTCGTTTTTTTTTTATAGGAGGTTAGTTTCGGAGATTTTGGAATTCATGTTGATAGGTTCTCTTGGCGATGATCGTTTGGGCTTTCTCTATGATTTGGTGTTTTTTTCCCCCTTGGATCTTGTTTGTGTTCATTTTTTCTCTGGGTTTTGGTTGTTGCTGATGAGTTTCCAATTGAATGTTAGGGTATTCCGAGAAAAAGGGGAATCGATTTGGCCGATTTTCTAATTATTCCGGCGAATTGAAATTTTCAGGTGTATTGATTTGCAATTTCATCTGAAATATCCATCCAGATAGCTCAGATCGATCTCACTCCTCTTTCGTCTTGCAGAATTAAGCCTTCACATTTGAGATTCGAGTAGACGAGTTTTGATTGTTCGTTTGTGCGAACTCCGGTAGTTGTTTGCAAAATTACAAGATGATTGTGCCTGCTGACTGCTTCACTATTTCGCTGTGTATCTCTGCCACTCCGTTCACAGCATGACCAACCACAACACACAGATTGGCCATACGAACCATCTTCGGTGGTTCTACTACTGGTTCTGTGATAACCTCCTCTTCCTCATCAGCGGCTTCTGCCTCTTCCTTTTCCACCACGGCTTCAGTTTCTTCTTCTGATTCCACAGACTCATCAGTCGTGTCTTCGGCTGCAGTAACTGAAGGTTTCTTTGGCTTCACAATAACATCTGCAAATGCAGCAGGCAACTCCACATTTTCTAAGATCCTCATTTCCTTTAGTTTTTTATCCAGTAAGCCAGGATCTTCAGTGCCATACTCTATAACAATTGTCCGAACTAGCTGCAACACATGCAAGAAAAAACGTTAGGACAAGACATCTAGAGAAAACAAGAGACATTTTGTTGTTGGTTTGAGTGGGACCTCCTCATCGATCATTTCTATAATCTCCACATGTCGTGGCAACAGCTTCTGCATGAGTTCTAAACTCCACTTCTCCAGTGCCTCAGGCAAGACTGTGTGGTTCGTGTATGCCACAGTCCTATAAACATTAGTAATTAATCAAAAAATGATTTGCTGAAAACGAACCTAATAATGCATACCTATTTTTAAAGTACCTTTGAGTGATTGCTGAACCAGACTGTTGGTGTATTTGTGTTTTTGGGAAGGAAGGATTCTGATAAGGTTGCTCGGATAATCAACCGATCTGTTTTTGATTGTATAGACCGCTTGCCTTTGAGTATCTTGACTTCTCTCCTTGCCACCCCTTCATCTCTGGTATCCGAGCATGGATCTCGTTGCCTTTCATGGACGTTGAGGATATCAATGTCGGGTCCATCGACGTATTCGGGATTCAGCTGGATTTCTGTGATGTTGCCAACACGAAGGAAGAGGCATTGTGGCTTCTAGGCATGCTTGATTGGAAATGAAAGGAATCAGATATCTATACCAGGTCTGAAGCTTGTGTATATGATTATGCATAGGAGTACAGGCGCAATCTGCCTGTGCATTTTGCCTCGTTTTTCGTCTGAATGTTGCCCGTTAAGCTGTTTCACAGAGATTTATTTCACATTATTCTTCTCTGATATCATATGTGCTTCGTCATGATCTTTCTGATTTGCGTTCGTGATTTACTCCATTGCCTCATTTCGCAGATTGCTTCGGTCGGAATGCAAACTCGTAGGCTATATGCAGGGCCAAGAGCATTAGGTATTATTATTCAGAACATGTCTACTTTCGATCTTTTATTTATCATCTTTGCATCATTTGGTTCTTATTCATATCCTTTCATACAAAACCTAGAAACAAAAAAACCCGAATCCCCTAGAAGTTCCACTTCCCGTCAAAGTTCTGTCCGAACCCCCAGTTTGAGGGCGCCACATCTAAGAAATCTATCGTCTTCCCATCGCTGGTCGTAACCCTAAACGACAGGCTCTCTCCGACCAGCACAACCCCAGTCGTCCAATGTTGTCCCCAATCCTTTTTCATTGTTATCCAGTTGGTCTTACTCCCCTTGACCTGCATGTACTTCACATCTCCTGCACCGGCTACGTTGAACGGCAAGACGGTGAGGAAGTTCGGGTTGCCGGTGATCTCGAACCTGACGCCTCCGGTTTTGACACAGGGAATGCGGCGGTACTTGACCGGGACAACACCGGCCTTGTACTGGGCGATCTTGAGGAACATAGGTTCGGAAAGGTCGAAGTGGCGCTGAGGAGGGTTGCACCAGATGTCGACGGTCTTGGTGTAGTCGGGTGGGCAGAAGTTAGTGGCCGTAACCTTGATCGAGCCGGGCAAGCACCATTTTGGGTCGTTGACGCACATGATCTCGAAGCAGGCTCCACATGCGTAGCCGTCGTTGAAGAGGGCTGTGCTCAGTGCCGTGGTGGCTAAGCCATAGCCTTGCTTGTTCAGGTCGCCATACCCGCAAGCTCCCTCTGCAACGACGATGTGTGTAAGGCCAGGTATTTAAAAAAAATTGTAATAATTTTTTATTATATATATCAAATATATATATATATATATATATATCAACTTATTTTTTTTGTAGGATACTCTGATTTTTGGTTCATCAATGTTGTTTGTTTGATAGTGTCATGTAATTGTTTGTTGCTATTATTAATGAATATTAATTTTTGTTTAGTTGGATGTTAAACACGTTCTATAACATGTTAAACAAAAAACTTACGTTGAGTGCCACCACCTTTGACGTCGCCGTAAAATGTCGCACGTGCGTCATACCATACGGTGTCGAGTCCAACTGCGTGACCCTTAGGCACTGTCCATATGGCCATCACCATCATCATCATCATCAGTGAAGCTTCCTTATATATCATATTCTTGAGAAAATCCATGATTACACTTTTTTTTATACTGTTTTTATTTTTGTGTGATTTTTTTTATTATAGTTTTTTAAAGTTTGATTGGTGTTGAAATAGATGGGAATGTCGGTATTTATAGGCGGAGGAATTAGAAAGATTATGGTAAGTATGGAAGTATTATGGCGTATATTTTAAATGTATAATGTATACATTTTTATTAGCAATGTAATAAGTTGGTTTTGGACCTTCGAATGGCAACATCATAAATCGAATGCCAAATATTGCCAATGTGCCTGTCTTTATGTGATGTTAAAAATAGAAAAATGGTACTTGCCGCAATTATAAGAAATAAATGTACAGAAACTACTAAACAAGTTTAAATCCGAAATTAAAACAATTTTTTTAAAAAAAGAAACAAAAAAAGTTTAAACCCAAACCCCGACCTTTATTCGAGTGCTGTTCTTATAAAATGGAAACCGACTTCTCCTCTTTCTACACCGGACTTGGATATTTTGGATTTTAATTTGATTAGTTTCGAGTTTAAATTTTTTATTTTCAAAAAATATAATTAATCAATTTTTATATCAAAATTTTGATTTCTAATCCATTTTTATTTAAAATATCAATTTTAAAATATGAAAAGTCTCGATTATTTATTTATTTATTTATTTTGGTAAAAAGAGTCTCGTTTATTGATATAGAAAAGACAACAATAATGCCTGAAAAAAAAAACAGAAATTCATCTAATTGGAGAAAAAAAAAGAAAAAAAAAACAAATCAGAAGTTCCGGCTGCCGTCAAAACTCTGTCCGAATTGCCAGTTCGAGGGAACTACGTCACCGAACTCAATCGACTTCCCGTCACTCGTCTGAACCCTAAACGACAACCCCTGTCCGGCCAGCCTCTCTCCGGTCTGCCAATTCTGTCCCCAGTTCCTACTCATCTGTACCCAATTACCGTTTTGCCCTTTCACCTGCACGCCGGTGACGTCACCCGCCCCTCCGACGTTGTACAGCAAGACCAGGATCCAGTACGGATTGCCCTTCATCTCAAACCTGACGCCGCCCCTCTTCTGGCACAGAATCCGCCGGTACTTGACCGGGACTATACCGGCTTTGTATTCGGCGATCTTCAGGAACATGGGCATGGACAGGTCGAAGTGCTTGTTCGGTGGGTTGCACCAGTGGTACTGGACCGGCGGGTCGTAGTTGGGCGGGCAGAAGTTGGTGGCGGTGATCTTGATCGTGCCGGCGTTGCGTTTGCACCACTGCGGCGAGTTGACGCACATGATCTCGAAACACGCACCGCAGGTCAAGCCGTTGTTGAACAGCGCCGTGCTTAGGGCCGCCGTCTCGAAGCCGTAGCCTTGTTTGAATAGATCTCCGTATCCACATGCTCCTTCTGTCCAATTTTGATTATAATGAAGAAAAAATAATTTGAAAGTTATGGAGATTTTATGTAATTTTACGGTTTATATATTAGCATATTAAGTTATTCAAAATTTTGAGAAATGATCATTATAAAATGGTTTGCTTTGGATTTAATTTATCTATTTATTATTATATTAGGATAAGATTTAAAATTCTAATTAGAGAAAAATGCATTGTACTATTTAAAATCATTAGATTATTAATAATACACGAGATTTTGTTATGCAAATTAATTTTGACAAAAACATTTTGTTTAAATACTAAACAAGGGCTTTGCATATGAATAATTATATCGTCATTGGATGAAACTGATTCTCTATTTGTATAAAAACGTTTTTAAAAAGTGAGAAAATAAAATAAAAAATTAAAAGAAGACTAACGCATGGTTTCTCCGCCGGCCATGTCGCCGTAAAAGGTCGCATGAGCATCGTACCACGCCGTATCGATCGCCTCCGTACGGCCCCCGACAAGTACTAGAATCCCCAGCATCAACACTAGTCCCATTGGCCGACCCATTTTTTTTTAATTAAATATTTTTCTTCTCCAATTAAACATAAAAACTAATATGAAAAGGTTGATGTTTATATAGACGGAGAACATGAAGAGGCAATAAGATGTTATGGATTCTTTATTTGTAGTCCAATCAAATGTGAGATGCTGCACGATTTTGTGCATAATTTGCTTTCCAAATGTATGGAAATTTAAGATTCTATTTTTTTTTTGTTATTTATGATAATTAAATATTAATTAGAATTCGCAATCCTATGATTTTAATTTTGTTTCCTGAAGTTGTAAGATTTTTTTTAGGGAATGATTGTGATTAATCTGGAAAATTATTGCATGGATTGAGGTTATTAAACCAGATTTTCGTTTCTTATTCGAAACTCGTAGTTTTATTGCTATATTTATTAATATTATTCAAACAAGAAAAAAAGGAACAGTTATTTTTGCAGAAGGAAATCATCAAATCAAAATGACGCCGTTTTATTTTGTAGTTCCAATTGAGTCGAGTTGGGCCGAATGGGCCTTCGGGCGTAAATTCAACAGAATCGATCCGATTGAGTTGGGCCTAATGGGCCTTCGGAGGAATTTGGGTCATGAGTATTGCTGTGATTAATCTTAGAAAGCTTTGCAATGATCATTTTAGATGATAGAACACACGTTCCTTTATTTAATTAATTTATTTTTTATTTTACTCTCGAAATCATCATAACATGCCATCATGATTGGGGAGTTTTCAACTTTATTTCAATGGATTTGGCTCAATTATTTCCATTTACCTTGGAATGCACTCAAGAGAGAGAGAGGATTTCCTCATTCCTTAAGCAAAATCACATACTTGGGTTTGAAGTTTCCAAAACACAAACATTATGTTTTGTTTCTTTCTAATCACCCAATATCTTTGTCGTTTCCCTAATTAAAAATATCTTTCGATTTTCAAGAATCTCACCGTCTCTAAAAAATAAAATAAAATCGACAGTGCATTAAAAATCTATCTCTCGACACACTGTTAATGCGGGGACCAACCAGTTACCTCTTTTTTTTGTTGGATAGTTTTCGAATCTATTTGAAACGAGTTCCTTTCAACGAGAAAGCGACATAACAACACAAGCTCTTAAATATTTTTCAGTTTTTTATCCCGTCTTAAATTTAATAAAACCCACATGAATTAAAATATTGCAAATGTTTTTAAATATTGGGAAATAGTGTAATTTACTGTCGATTATGTCTTATTTCTTATTGACAAAAAAGGATTTAATTTTGTAAATCGGTGCAATAATCGTTTCGAGGGTGGGGGGTCAAACGTTCGTTGGTTCGGAGTGAGTTCGTCGTGCACGACAGTGGAGATTTACGACGCAAAGCGCGTGGCCTTTACGCTCTCAAGGGTAGTATCGTCATTTTATATGTTCCACAACCGAAACCGGAAGTTTTCTCTGGTCGGTGAGAGGGGTGAAATCGGAAACCCGCCTCCTATAAATTCTACTCACCTCTTCTGTCCTTCCCATTTCACTGCCTCGCATCTCTCTGAAACTCTCTCTGCCCATCTCCTCTCCACGCTCCTGTTTCTCTCCTTTGTTGTCTTCTCCCTAAATCTTCGGAGGTAACGCTGATTCCTCTCTCTTTTGTCGGATTATGGACTTTTCTCGCGAAATTTCCCGTCAATTGTACTTGATTCTCTGCTGATTCCGCTCTGAATCGTTGGTCGGTGTGGCTAGGTCTTAGATCGATGCTTCTTAGTTGATAATTTAGCGTGGGATGTTTGAATGCAATGGATCATTGTCCGTTTTTGCTCGTTTAATGATGATCTGTTGTTTGTAGTTGGAAATTTCGCAGATTTGTAAAGCGGGCTAGATTTGTGATTGGATCCGAATGAAACAATGATGGATGCTCTTTTTATCGAATGGATTTGGGTTTACTTACCGTTTGAGTCTGGATCTATGTCTATTTTTATGCTGGTTCATGAGTGATCTGTTTGATTGCATGGGTTACCGTCAAGCGTTAGGTGTCGGCGTTAGCAAGTGTGTTTCAGATCTGAGCGATTTACGAGTTTTCCGCTTAAAGACAAGATCTTAGAATGTCGGTCGGGTTTCTGTTGCGCTGGTTGACTTGTTCCTTATGACGACATTTCTTTCCTTAGATTTGAAGCGAGTTCTGGGAATTTTACAACTTAGCATTTGGAAGTTATTTTCTGTTGGCTGAATGTTACAGTAGAGTTCTTAGGTTAAGGAATTTGTCTTTGGTGGTCTGATTATGAGCTCATTTTTTTTTCTGGCTTGGTTCATGCTGCAGACAGCGAAAATGGTGAAGATCTGTTGCATTGGAGCAGGGTATGTCGGTGGGCCGACCATGGCGGTCATTGCATTGAAATGTCCAGACATCGAAGTGGCGGTCGTGGATATCTCTGTACCCCGTATCAATGCGTGGAACAGCGACCAGCTTCCCATATACGAGCCAGGTCTTGATGACGTTGTCAAGCAGTGTCGTGGGAGGAACCTTTTCTTCAGCACTGACGTTGAGAAACACGTGAGGGAAGCCGACATTGTCTTCGTCTCTGTCAACACCCCGACCAAGACGAGGGGTCTTGGTGCTGGCAAAGCTGCGGACCTCACGTACTGGGAGAGCGCTGCCCGCATGATCGCTGATGTGTCTGAATCTGACAAGATTGTGGTCGAGAAGTCGACAGTCCCTGTCAAAACGGCTGAAGCCATTGAGAAGATCCTGACCCACAACAGCAAAGGCATCAAATTCCAGATTCTGTCGAACCCCGAGTTTCTCGCGGAAGGAACCGCAATCCAGGACCTTTTCAAACCGGATCGTGTCCTCATCGGAGGTCGGGAAACTCCGGAAGGGCTGAAAGCCGTCCAAGCTTTGAAGGCTGTCTACGCTCACTGGGTCCCCGCCTCTGATCTTCCAGGTATGTCCAGACATCGAAGTGGCGGTCGTGGATATCTCTGTACCCCGTATCAATGCGTGGAACAGCGACCAGCTTCCCATATACGAGCCAGGTCTTGATGACGTTGTCAAGCAGTGTCGTGGGAGGAACCTTTTCTTCAGCACTGACGTTGAGAAACACGTGAGGGAAGCCGACATTGTCTTCGTCTCTGTCAACACCCCGACCAAGACGAGGGGTCTTGGTGCTGGCAAAGCTGCGGACCTCACGTACTGGGAGAGCGCTGCCCGCATGATCGCTGATGTGTCTGAATCTGACTTGATGACGTTGTCAAGCAGTGTCGTGGGAGGAACCTTTTCTTCAGCACTGACGTTGAGAAACACGTGAGGGAAGCCGACATTGTCTTCGTCTCTGTCAACACCCCGACCAAGACGAGGGGTCTTGGTGCTGGCAAAGCTGCGGACCTCACGTACTGGGAGAGCGCTGCCCGCATGATCGCTGATGTGTCTGAATCTGACAAGATTGTGGTCGAGAAGTCGACAGTCCCTGTCAAAACGGCTGAAGCCATTGAGAAGATCCTGACCCACAACAGCAAAGGCATCAAATTCCAGATTCTGTCGAACCCCGAGTTTCTCGCGGAAGGAACCGCAATCCAGGACCTTTTCAAACCGGATCGTGTCCTCATCGGAGGTCGGGAAACTCCGGAAGGGCTGAAAGCCGTCCAAGCTTTGAAGGCTGTCTACGCTCACTGGGTCCCCGAAGACTGTATCCTCACCACAAACCTGTGGTCGGCCGAGGTTTCCAAGCTGGCGGCTAACGCCTTCTTGGCCCAGAGGATTTCATCGGTCAACGCCATGTCGGCACTATGCGAGGCCACTGGTGCCGATGTCACCGAAGTGTCTTACGCGGTCGGTAAGGACTCGAGGATCGGTCCCAAATTCTTGAACGCCAGTGTCGGGTTTGGAGGTTCGTGCTTCCAGAAGGACATTCTGAACCTGGTCTACATCTGCGAGTGCAACGGGCTGCCCGAGGTAGCGGAATACTGGAAACAAGTCATCAAGATCAACGATTACCAGAAGAGCAGGTTCGTGAACAGGGTGGTCTCGTCCATGTTCAACACGGTCTCCAACAAGAAGATCGCGGTCCTAGGGTTCGCCTTCAAGAAAGACACGGGCGACACCCGAGAGACCCCGGCCATCGACGTGTGCAAGGGTCTGTTGGGAGATAAAGCGCGTCTGAGCATATACGACCCGCAGGTGACGGAGGACCAGATCCAGAGGGACCTGACCATGAACAAGTTCGACTGGGACCACCCGCTCCACTTGCAGCCGATGAGCCCAACCACTGTGAAACAAGTGGCCGTCACCTGGGACGCGTACGAGGCCACCAAGGACGCGCATGGCGTGTGCATCTTGACAGAGTGGGACGAGTTCAAGACGCTCGACTACCAGAGGATCTTCGACAATATGCAGAAACCGGCGTTCGTGTTCGACGGAAGGAACGTGGTGAACGCGGACAAGCTGAGAGAGATCGGCTTCATCGTTTACTCCATCGGCAAGCCATTGGATGCATGGCTCAAGGACATGCCTGCTGTGGCCTAAGGATCCATGGCGGTGGATCTTCAGAATTTGAAGAAAGGGTGAGGACGAGGATTTTTTTTTTATATATCTTTTTCTGCTTTTTTTTTTTTACATGTTCGTATAAGATTTTTATTACCCATTACGATATTTCGAGACCTTGTGTTTACATTTTTTTTAATTACAATGTGGTGCAATAATCTTTCTTATGTTATGTTTGTGATCATGGCTGTGTGTTTTGTCCGTGAAAGAACTAAATAAAAAGAATTCAGATCCTCTTTTTCTAGTCGCAAAAAAAAAAAAAGATTTAAAAATGTTCCAATACATTTAAAAAATATTTTTTGAAAGTGGTATTTAAATAAAACAATATGAACGCATCAATAACCGGAGCTCGGTATTTGGTACGAATTCAATGATCTGGTGGCCTATATGGTATTGGTATATGATTGTATTTTATGACATTTGACGATTGGGTTAATGCTCGAATTATGGGACCGCACATGCCAGGACGTGCATCCCCCCAATTCGATTCATGTCAATATGTCATATGCTTTTCTGTATTTTTATTTTTTTTTATTAAGAATATTCGATTTTTAAAACCTTTTTGTTTCCTTCATTTTGTTAGCGTTTTTCGTATTCGATTCCAATTTGTTTAGATCTAGGAGTAAAAATAAATAAAAAATTATACGTATTAAAATTTGAGACTCTGAATCCTAAATCGACTCAAAATGTGCCACCCAACAAATATCTTTAAAGCATGGGAATATAATATAAAGTTTTTAATTCATAAAAAGTCCTGTAAAGTGACACGTGTTTAATTTGAGCAATGCTTTGAGGAACCAATCACTTTCCTCCACTTGCGAACTCATTAACACTAATTAATGGACAAATTATTTGGATCTGACATTTTAACGGAGAGAGACAGAGTATCTTCACGTTTCCCAGATCGAGTGGCATTCCCGTAATTCCTCTCAATTTCTTTCCCACTTTGGTAATTATCGCTTTCACTCGGCTCTGTCGGAAACCTTTCCGTTCCACGGAAAAAGCTGTGAACTTTTGATCGATTTGTTCGGTTTTCTCGATTTCGATCCGTTTAATCTTTTCCTGGGTTTCCCTGATTCCGGTCTGATTCCCACTTACCATTGTTATCTCTCGATTATCTTCGCTTAATTGTTATCTCTCAATGAAATTCTAAGGATTAGGGTTTGTCGATGTTCATAATTGTGAATCTGTTTCGATCGTTGATATATAATTCACATCTTAAGATCCGCTTGGTCAGAGGTTATCTGGGTCGATTCCCACTTACCACTTCTCCGCCATTTTCTATATTTTCCCCGTGGTTTTTATTTTGATTACAAGAGCCTTAACATTTGTTTCTGGTATTATAATTCGGGATTTTCGAAAGTATAATTTTGGTTCCTCGCAGTCTCTCCATTGCCAGAGATCTTCGAGGTACGACAATAGGTTTGGTCAGTTTCTTTCCATAATGTTATGAAACCCAAGTTATGTTTGATGGATTGAGCTTTAGTTCAAATTAACGAAGGTGTTCTGTTCTGTTTTAGCTGTAACTGGGCCAGGTTTCCACTTTCAGAAACTTAGAAATGTTTTCATCTGGCACTTGCAGAGTTTAAATATGATTCACAAACGGCCTTATGATGGTGAGGATGTTTACAATATTGCTTGCAAGCACCTGAGACATTGGGACAGCGTCGATCACTTTGGTCCCATCATCGACATTGTTCCGGAAAACAATGGCTATCCAGTCTCTTTTAGCTCAGGTAACAAAATGTGTGAGAGTATTAATCTCAAGCTGTTAGATTCCGAGCAAGTTCTTGCGTTTGAATTAGGAATTCTGTGAAAGATTATTCCCGAACTACCGTTGTGTTTCCCTGTTGTTTCCGGTGGATTGGACATGTAAAGCATTGTTGTATAGCCCTTTGATATGGTGCTTGGATTTGGATAATCATGAAAAAAGTTTTAATTTTCCGACATTTTTTGGAGCTAGTTTGTTATCTGATCATTTGACTCTATATACGGAATTTTGTTTAATTTGGAAGTATGTCTATAGACATTGATTTTTAGAAGCTTGACGGGATGCGATTATTGAATTTGAAGGTGATGACAGTTCTGGGAGGAGGAGTCAAGGTGATGAAAGGCCTTCGAATGATTTGGTTAAGATGGCAAATGAATGCGGAGCAGGAACCTCTGGCCAAGGCTCCAAGGCGTGTTGGATGGAAAACGATATCGTAGGATGTGATCTGGATTCCCTGAAGGGATTTGCTCTGTCATTTTTTCCGGAATGCTTTGCGCAGACAGACCAACCAGCATCTTCTTCTACGGAAGAATTTCCTTCCCCGAAGCTTGGTCCGGAGCATCAAGCCGATGTTCCAGATTGGTGTCCACTTGGAGATGGTGCAGATTGCTCGTATGAAGAGAGGCTTATAGGAACTTGTGTGATTCCTATGCCCAGTTTGGACTCGGTTTCAGACAATGTTTGTCAGAGATACAAGCAGGCTGATGAATGTGTTTGCCCAGATCACGATTCTGTTACTTGTGTCAGACAACATGTAGCTAAAGCTAGAGAAGTTCTCAAGAGCGAGCTCGGAGATGATGCTTTCGAGGCATTGGGCTTTAATGAGATGGGGGAAACTGTTTCAGTGACATGGATTGAGGAAGAAGACTTGTTCCATGAAGTTGTCCGGACAAACCCTGCTAGATCGGGTAAGAACTTCTTGGTTCAGCTACTGGAAGTTTTCCCGACCCGAACAAAGAAGGATCTTGTTAGCTATTACTTCAATGTCTTCATGCTTAGGAGACGCATGAATCAGAACAGATGCTTGCCCCTACATATTGACAGTGATGATGATGGATGTCAGATACCGGATGATGACCATAAGGACGAGTTCATGCTGGATTCCCTCACCGGCCAACATGATGATGCAATACCTCATCAAGATGCTGCTTCTGCTAGTGTTTGTAACGTCAAACCTCTGGATGAAACAGAAGGAAGTATCACAGAGGATCAGAAGGATTCATCTGTATCTTCAGAGATCAGGAAAGACGAGCAAGAACCCTTGTGAAGCTTGAACGAGATGATGTGCAGTGTGATCTTCTCAGAAAATTTTGTTTTGGGTAGGCAAATTCTTTGTTTCAGTTATACAACGTTTTCTTCGAGTTTTCTTGAGAAAAAAGTCTCTGTAAATGTTTTGACAGTTCAGTTTTGTCTGAATGTTGGATTGATGATTCATGCATTTGGGCTTGTTTCTCCACAAGAACGTGTTGCAGAGAATCTTTGGATCTCTCTCCAGTGGTTTAGATTCCCAACAAGAAGTTTCCAGAATCAAGATTCTGAATTTCCTGTTCACACCTCATCACCATTACCAGAAGATCCCATCTTCCAAGCTGACGAGACCTAAAATTCGGTTTCTCGTGAAAGATTGATGTCGTCTTCAAAGTTCACATCTTTTTCTTCATAAAGATGTCTCTTTTAGTTGACTAAACATTTAAATTCAGATTCTTTTACAAGTTTTTATGGAAAGTCTGGATTTTTTTTCTGTTTTCAGTATGCGGATATTTTTTGGTAATTTTTTTGGCCCATTTTGGTGTTTTTAATAATTTTTCCACGGCTTATAAGACGAGTTTGGTACGGGCGGAGACAGGGAGCATCAGCATCTATTCCTTATCGCAAAATCTTGAAGACCAAAAATCAGTCCAAGAAAATTGCTCTTTACCAACTTCTCATCGTCTCTCTGCTTTGCTTTGCTGTAAAGTTGAGTATGGACGCCATCGCTCAGTTGCAGATGCAATTTCGCGATTATACGATTTCTCTCTATCAACAGGTTGGTTCTGGTATCCCTGTTTTTCATTTTCCTTACAAAAATTTCCTGGATTTTGGATCATCTTGAGCAAACAGCGACATGGGTTCCGTTGGATTCTAGGTTGTCGATGAAAGATCGAATCTTTCGGTGGTGGGTTTGTCTCTGTCTGGAGAATTCTCAGAAAGAATGAAAAGTTTTTAAAGAACAATCGAATGGAAAATTGGATACTACAAGATTTAAGAATCTTATGGCTAGAGAATTAGGGTTCTGTAAGGGGTCTCCAATTCATGATAACTGTTTCAGTGTTTGTCCTGAGATGGGTTTCATTGGAAATTGGGTTTCTGAGATCATTGCTTGTTGAATTTGGCATGTGAAGGAGGTTTTGGATGATCAGTTCTTCGAGTTGAAAAAGCTGCAAGATGAGGGCAACCCTGATTTTGTGACAGAGATTGTCTATCTCTTCTTCGATGACTGCGAGAAGCTTATCATTAACATGGGGAGAGTTCTGTAAGATCTGGTTTTACTCTCATCGTTACCATTTGTTTGTTCATCATATGTTTTCCGGGTCATTGCCTCTGCCCTCATATAATCAATAATCGGTTTTCTCTTTCAATTTTGTTTGCTCAAAAGCATATATGGTTTGATCAATCTCTTCAGGGACCAGCCAGGAAATATAGATTTCAAACAGATCGGCTCAAGCGTTCATCAGCTGAAGGGTAGTAGCTCAAGGTAATCTTTCATCATCTCATCTCGGGTTTCTCTTTTCTTCCCCTCTCCCCCTCCCCCCAACTCTTGATCCGTATTCATATAGTCAAGAACACGAAAATATCGGTCTTTACATATAACATATACATTGTCTTAGAAACCAAAGTATCATGCCTTTGATTTCTGGATCCCTGCTTTCTTATGCAGTGTTGGTGCGAAAAGGATAAAAAACGTTTGTGTCACCTTCAAAGATTTCTGCGATGCTGAGCACCAAGAAGGGTGAGTTCTACGCAAAACTATAAAGTCAGTTTCCTCTCATGAGATGAGATTCATCTTAGCTCATTATATGAAAGAATACTGCAAAACATGGCCGAGACATTGTTTCTTGAATTTCTGCGATAAGAACGAGCCAATCCAATGGGTCTTTTGTTGCAGGTGTTTGAGCTGTCTGAGGCAGGTGGATCTGGAATATAAACTGCTAAGATCCAAACTTCAGGATTTGTTCAACGTGAGTGAAGATCAACAATCTGTTTTTGTTTGCTTAAGAACCCATTCAATGGTTAGATTATGAACTGTTTGTGAATTGCAGCTGGAGAGACAGATCCTTCAAGCTGGTGGCACAGTTCCTCAGGTGAATATATAAACTAAGAATGATGATGAAGATGATGATGGTCCCAATCCCATGTTACATAACTCCATAGTTTTCAATCATTTGCTTTTGTATTTTACCCGTGGCTTCTCAAGAGTTGACTAAAGGGTTTAGTTGGATGTCTCTATAAATGAGATTTGGACTGTGTTCTATTGTCTGATATATGATGCCTCTTTGGTCTTTTCGTTGCTTCTTTTGATTTCGTTCTAATAGAAAATGGTCTGAACTTTTAATTTCATTAGAATTCTAATGTTTTCTGAGATATTTATTTCGTTTTTCTTGTTACCAGAATAACCTGTTGGATCTGTAATTCGTGTTGCTTGAATAAAGGTATTCTTTTGGCTTTAACCAAAAAAAAAAAAGGTATTCTTTTGGTGAAAAAAAAGCCTAAGCCACGATTTTTTTAAAAAAAAAACTTGCATAAGCCGTGAAGATAGCCACGGCAGAGCGAGTATGGAAGTTTTGTACGCGCGAGAGTGGGGGTTAATAAATATACGAGCAGTTTGCTTCCCTCGCAAGAAATTTTCTGTGCTCTCCCTCTCTTGGAGCGACAGAGACAAGTTTTTTGTGTTCTAGGGTTTGTCTTGGACCAGTTTGGATCTTCTTCTTCCTCGTACAGACACACCAATCGTGGGACTTTTGCTTCGGTGAGGTTGATCGATCTCTGCAGTTTCTTCTTTATCTGTGTCTGTCTTTTACTTTCTCCTGTTTCTTCGTGAAGCCTTTACATTTTCTCGGGAAAGTGAAGGAAAATCTCTGCCTTTTCCCCTTTTAGGACAAAAATGTTTTTTTTTCTGGTCACCTGATCCTTTTCCGTTTCCCGCTCAATAACTGGAACTTCAGGATTTTTCTTTTCATTGTTCCCGAGAACGTTAGGGTTTTTTTCTCTCGTGGTTTCGAGCTTTGGGTTTACTCTGTTTGGCTCTAACGAATCAGTGATTAAACAGGAACAAGAACTGAAGCTTCGTCTTAACTTGTCTTGTTAGTGTCCTTGGTGGTCAACATGACGAGTTCAGACCATGGCCTAAGCTTCTGTCCTAAGAAGTCCCGAAATTTTCAGAGCCTTTGTGTTTGTAATGTCTGCGGAAAAGAGTTCCAGTCTCCAAAATCTCTGTATGGTCACACGAGGATCCATTCTAATAGATTGATTCCATGCAAAGTTTGCGGGGAAGAGTTCTCTTCCGTGAAATGTCTGATCAATCACATGGTCTTGCACCGGGTTTTGGTTCCTGATGAGCCCAGGATTTGTTCGATTGCTGAGAAGAGTTTCGAGGAGACAAAATCCTTAAATCTGGTAATGGGAGATGGATCTCTCATGAACAAGTCTTCCTGTGTTACTGAGATTGAGCAAGAAGAGATGGAAGAAGTTGCCATGAGTTTGATCATGCTGTCTGAAGGTCTTCACGACCTGGATTCTTCCGGAAATGTTTCTCGGGGCGATGAATCTGTCGCCTTGGAGGTGAAATCATGGAATTCGAAGAGAGTGGAGAGTGAAGAACATTGCTCTTTCGATTCCCCAACTCTTTATAATAATCACGACAAGATCAAACCTGGAATGGATGAACCTCTAATGGATAGTTCTGAGGTGAAGCTGAAGTCCAGTGGATTGCAGACTCATTCGGGTTACATCAAGTCTAGTTCTTACACGATGCTTTCTTCTTCTTCTACGAGTGACAGATCGAAGAAAAAATCACTAAAGAAATCTGGATATAGATGCAAAACATGCCACAAGGTTTTCAGCAGTTATCATGCTCTTGGTGGCCACCAGACCCTTCACAGATCAGAAAGACGCCACTGCATGTCTAAAAACCCAAACTTTGATGGTAATGCATTCCCTGGTCAGATTGTTTCTGAAGTTTGTAAGACCGGTTCTCAGATTAACAAGGACGAGGCAGCGGAATCGCAAGAAAATTCTCCAGGGAACTCTGGATATATATGCAAGACATGTGGCAAGTTTTTCAGCTGTTCTAAGTCTCTTGGGGGCCACCAGGCCCTTCACAGATCAGAAAGCCGGCGTTTTATGGCTAAGAATGCGAACCTTAGAGGCAATTCATTGTTTGGCTCGGCTACCTCTGAAGTCGGTAAGACTGGTACTGATACCAACCAGCATGAATTCGATGAGAATGTGACAGAACTGAGAAACATTTGATCGGAAAGAGCACTAGTGCTTGATTTGTCTGAAAGCCTTTGATACTGACCACGTTATCGGAGTTCATATGGTGCAGCCTCTGACCAAAGTGTTCGAGATTACAACAGTAAGGGACGAGAGAATAGTGCTTTATTAGATTCACTGAATCTTTGGACAAATGGATTAGGATGAGCAATGGTAAGGGCAGTCACAGGTAATTAGAGACTGAAACCTTTGGGGATGATGTCGAGGTTTGGTCTTTTTGCAGTTTTTCTACTGTTTCAAGTTTTACATTAGTTAAAAGGATGCATACATGAAGACACCAGCTTTGTTCTTGTCTGAAACACTGATTTTTCCTGTTGTTTCTGAAAATTCTTTGCTTCAAACATCAGTTCTCCTGTTGATTCTCTGTTTGCTTTTGTCAAACCATCAGAACTAAAGAATGATCATTAAGTGGATAAGTTTATGGTAAATCGGATTTGTAACCTTTCCGTGTAACCCAAAAGGACAATTCAGAGATTTTCCCATCCAACCGGATCCAGTGAGACAGTAATCGTACAGTTTTTTTTCCTTTTTGAAAATCAAGAAGAAAAAGATCGGAATTTTTATTTTTCTGTTTGGGTAGACGGAAGACCATACGCATTTCGAGAGTTGGAATCCATCTTCCATGGAATACACGCAATGGCAGCAGCCGCCGGCGACGGCGACCGTGGAAGTGAACCAGATGGCGACGGCGGCGGAAGTGAACCAACCGGCTGTCGACGCATACTACGCTTCCTATTACGCTCATCACGCTCCTGTTTCCGGGCAAACACAAAACCCTGACCCTAGTTCTGGTATCGATCCCAAAACCCATGAATCATCGGCCACTGCGACGGCGACTCCGGTGCCGGGAGCTGATGTTTCTTACGCCTCCGGGGGATCATACCCAGATTCTTCTGCGGCGGCGTATTATGTATTGGATACGAATCAGCAGCAGAACTGGTCATGGGGAGAATCGGTACAGCTTTATGGTACGGACCCTCATGGGCATGCAGGAGCTGTAAGTCTTCGTTTTTGCGTGCCCTTCTGATAGGAAACTAAGAAAAGATTGCTTTTTTTTTTGTTGGGTCTCAATTTGTTTCCATTGAAGATGTTGTTTCTTTTGGGAAGATGAAATAGGTCACGAGGGAAATGAGAACGAACTGATTATGTGGTCGTGAAGATTGTGTGAACACGAGTTAATGTTTCGTGGAAGAAGAAATGGAACGGTGTTTTTGGACGTCTCGTGTAAATTTAGGATTCTTTGTTCTTGGATGAAATTGGGTCCTTCTCCAGAAGACCTTGTTACATGTTTTGCTATTAGTGGGCAAAGATTGATCTTGATTTCGGTTTGCCTTGGTGGAAGAGAGAAGAATCTGTCGGTCTGTTCATTCATCTTAGTTCTTCTTAGGACAGCTTATCTGACCTTTTAATGTTTATTGGTAATGAATTTGGAACTGTGCAGATGAACAGATCGGTACAGCCTGCAGTTGCGTATCCCGGCTCCTCATGGACTAACCATTTGGTTCAGGCTCAACTTAACGGTCTAACATCTTTGAAGAACCACTCAAAGAAGGCAAAGATTGTTCAGTCTGCATACTGCGAAGTTTGCAAAGTCGATTGTAACAGCCAAAATGTGTTCGAGCAGCATAAGTTGGGGAAGAAGCACCAGAAGAACCTGGAAAAAATACGAGCGTGTTCGTCGACTAACATGAGTTCTTCTGTGGTCGGACCAAGTGTCCCGATGATTGGGCCGCAAGAAAATCCGGATAAAAGCAAAGAGGCAACCATCCGTAAAAATGGGAGGAAGGCAGCTGAATCCATTGAAGATCTGGAAACAAAGAGAAGAAAAGTTGTGGAATGCGGTGCTGCAGTTGAGGCAATTAGGTTGTGTACGATATGCAATGTTGTTTGTAATAGCGATAAGGTTTTCCGTAAGCATTTAGCTGGACAGAAGCATGCCGCCATGGCACTAAAGCTCACGGGTCAAACCGGGGTAGCCCCTGTCAACTAAAACGAGATCATTTGAGAAGCTGTTGGGAAGAAAGTGTGGAGTTTTCACAGGGCGAAAGCCTCTCATGGAGGCAGGTTCCGCCATTGTACATATATATAGAGAGATTTATCTTCACATTTGTTGCAATGATCATTTCAAGGTTAAGAGATTGGGACGATGAAGAAAAGCATATAAAACTGAAATTTTATTTCTTACATTCATCACAATGATACAAGTTCATACATTGTTTCTTATTTCGTAGTGATGACCTTTACACATATAACTGGAAAGTGAAAGAGGCATTCGAGGAGTGGAAGTGCAACGGAGGTGAAAAAGGATAAACTCGAGGTGTGTTCTGGCTGAGAACTCGTTGGAATCATGGAAGTTCGACTGGTTTGATGTTCCAGATGTCTTTGGCGTACTCGTGAATTGTACGGTCGCTGCTGAACTTATATGACCCTGCTGTGTTCAAGATCGACATTCGCGTCCATCTCTGCCAAGTGCCATAACCAGAAATCATCAGTAGCAATTTCAGTCAGGGAAGTACGGATATCAGTGTTTTTGTGTGAATCTGGTGTGGGTAACTGAACTAAATGCATCACTGTTTTACCTTTTGGTCTCGGTATGCCTCGTCGACTTTTTCTTGGCATTCAATGTAATCAGGGAAGTCTTTGCCTACGAGGAAATAATCTGCTCGTCCAAAGCCCTCGTTTCCTTCCAAGGATCCCATCAGTTCATCGTAGTTGTTGGAACCAAAGATGCCACTTTGGATGTACTTCTTGATTTCTTCGAAGCGAGGGTCAGGAACAAACTGCAGAATCGAAGAGCAGATGGGTGAAATCCATGTTTACAGTTTGATGCAAAGCATGATAAGACAGATGCTTGGCCGAATCGGGCATACCTTCCCTTCAGCTCTTTCTTGCCTGAGGCCAATGATCTCATGAGCTTTGGCACCAAAGAGGAAAAAATTCTCTTCTCCGACCTCTTCTCTGATTTCAACATTGGCACCATCTAAGGTTCCGATCAAAAGGCAGCCGTTCATTGCAAACTTCATGTTACTTGTCCCACTGGCTTCCATCCCGGCAGTACTGCAGAAGGGTTCTTCATATTCAGAACATGGAGTTCGGTACTTACAAATCTTTGAGATACTGTCGAATAGGATACCTGATATGCTGTGAAAGCTCGCTCGCTGGTATGAGCAATTCAGCGACACTGACATTATAATCAGGCACAAAGACAACCTACGAGGTGGTTCAGATTGGCGTTAAACACTGAAAATATGCTTCAACACCAAAGCAGAAGCTTTTTTTTTTCAGCCTAAGAACAGGGATGCATACAAGGGACGGGTAGGATTAACAAAGGGTCAAATACCTTAAGCAGGTCACCTATTTCTGGATCATGATTTATTGTAGAACCAACATCTGTGATGAACTTCACAATCCTCTTAGCTTGCACGTAAGTGGCGAATGCTTTTCCTCCAAATATGCAAACTCTTGGAACAAAGGCTTTCTTCCTTTCATCGGCACTCATCTCTTTCATCTTTTTGTAGCGGTAAACAATTCCCAAGATGTTAAGCAGTTGACGCTTGTACTCATGGATACGCTTTATCTGAAACAGGGTTCAATTTGAGAACTGATCAATGTATGAAGATGGGATGATAAGAAAGCTTTCTCAGATAAGTAACATCCATGGATGAGAGAAAACGTCCAATTGAAGAAAAAGTTTTACTATTTGATGTTAATGGAGAAATATGTTGTTTTTCCATCACGAATTGTGCAACTTACAGCGAAGCTTTGAGTAAAACAATGGACTGACCTGAATGTCGAACATGGCATCCGGGTTTACTGAATACCCGGTTCTTTCCTTGATAAGGGAAACAACCTTCATTTTGTTTTTCTTTTTCGCAGCCCTCCACTGTGATTGTAGTTCTTCATTATCTGCAAACTGGAGAAAGACTGAACAAATTGAATCGACAGGCTCATGCTTTATAAGGAACAGAACAATCAGGCAGTAGTGAGAAATGGCTGAATTAACATTTTGTAAACCATGCATCACAGTAAGTAAGAACACAGTTATATAGCAGATGACAATAAAACTAATAAAGCACACACCTTTCTTAGCTCGGCGAGGTTTTCAGTATTTAAGACCCAGTCTTCTGTTCCAATCCAGTTAGTTATAATGTCACTTAGATCCGGATTGCAAAAACGGATCCATCGTCTTGGTGTTACACCATTGGTCTTATTCTGGAATTTAGCAGGCCACAACTACAACAATGGAAGAGCATCGGATGATGCACAATAGGGTCATTAAGCACAAAAGATCTTATAGTAGCTAAGGGAACTTCTAAAGTTTCAGTAATTGCAAAATCTACCTTGAAGAATTCATTAAAGACTTCCTGCTTCACTATTTCGCTGTGTATCTCTGCCACTCCGTTCACAGCATGACCAACCACAACACACAGATTGGCCATACGAACCATCTTCGGTGGTTCTACTACTGGTTCTGTGATAACCTCCTCTTCCTCATCAGCGGCTTCTGCCTCTTCCTTTTCCACCACGGCTTCAGTTTCTTCTTCTGATTCCACAGACTCATCAGTCGTGTCTTCGGCTGCAGTAACTGAAGGTTTCTTTGGCTTCACAATAACATCTGCAAATGCAGCAGGCAACTCCACATTTTCTAAGATCCTCATTTCCTTTAGTTTTTTATCCAGTAAGCCAGGATCTTCAGTGCCATACTCTATAACAATTGTCCGAACTAGCTGCAACACATGCAAGAAAAAACGTTAGGACAAGACATCTAGAGAAAACAAGAGACATTTTGTTGTTGGTTTGAGTGGGACCTCCTCATCGATCATTTCTATAATCTCCACATGTCGTGGCAACAGCTTCTGCATGAGTTCTAAACTCCACTTCTCCAGTGCCTCAGGCAAGACTGTGTGGTTCGTGTATGCCACAGTCCTATAAACATTAGTAATTAATCAAAAAATGATTTGCTGAAAACGAACCTAATAATGCATACCTATTTTTAAAGTACCTTTGAGTGATTTTCCAAGCTTCATCCCAACTTAATCCCCTCAAATCCATCAAAATCCTCATCAGCTCGGGTATGCATAGGGTGGGGTGAGTGTCATTCATCTGCACTGCAACCTTCTCAGGAAATTCTTCCCAGTTGACATTTCCCCCGGATCTTGTCTCAAAACGTGCAATGATGTCTTGGAGCGAAGCTGAGCACAAGGTGTATTGTTGCTTCAAACGAAGAGCCTTTCCTTCAATTGACTCATCCCCGGGATAAAGTACATAACAAATCTAATATCATTGAGAAAAAAAAAGGGAAGAAAAACAACCATATTAAAATGTACCCCTGAAGTAAACAAACGCACAAGATATGCTTCTACATCTGATTGTTATTTATTACTCCTAGTCTCTGCTGAATTAATAAAACAAATCTGTTGTTTCACTCACAAATCCCAGAAACAATTCTTTCCGAGCTCAATAACCTCGGGAAGCAGATCACACTAAAAAGAGGAAAAGCAAATGCATCTTCATAGAGACTTCTTCTTAAATTTTAAAGCATTGAACTTTTTTCAAGCCAAGAATAAATGGAAGAAAGACAAACCTTTTCGGCATTATACAGTGCCTCTGCTGCCTCAATATGCTTCCCAGAATTAAATGAAGATAAGTCAAAATCTTCTGAAGGAGCTTTCGTTGACCAGAGGCGTAGATTGATAGTCGTCTTAGTTTTGTAACCGGGTATAGGAACATCATAAGCAACAGCCAAAATGTCCTCTCCTCCAATCCAGCGCTTTTTACCATCTGATCCCGTAACCACTTTGCCATAGAACTTTACAGGATATGAGACATCATTTCTGACTATTTCCCATGGATTGCTCAGCTGAAAGGAAGAAACAAGCAAGTCAAAGAATATGGCCACAGCCAATTAGAGCTTCTCTGAGTTGATACCAGTTTACTATGTAATGAAAAAAATAGGTGAGGGGAAGAGGAAAAATGAAGAAAACCTCGAGCCAATCTTCCGCAACTTCTTCCTGTCCATCTTTAGTGATTCTCTGTTTGAATAGCCCATACCTGTATCTAAGTCCATAACCCCAAGCTGGATAATTCAAAGTTGCCAACGAATCCAAAAAGCATGAGGCAAGTCTTCCAAGTCCACCATTTCCAAGTGCAGCATCTGGCTCCTACACACAGAATTCAAGAAGTCAGCATCTCCAGTTACAGTAAAAAGGGTTAAATGTCCTGCAAAGCTGTAAAATACCCACAAAGAAAGACCAATTCTTTGACCATCATATGTAACAAAAACTTTTGAAAGAACTGCAGTAGAATCGATTTACTAAAAGAGAACATGCTTAACAACTCCACCTGACAAGCTACTCTTTCCAAATCGTAGCCTAGTTTCTTCAAAGCCTCAGCATAAGCACCGGTTAGTCCAAGGTTACCCACTGCATTCAGAAGGGCTCTACCCTACAAGAAGAAGATCAGATATTTAGTTCCCAATACAAAACTGCTATAGAGAATCCAACCAGAAATAGAGCCAAAGCAGACCTGGAGAAATTCCATCGACAAGTAATACGCATGCTTTGCATTCAACCTGTTGTAATAATCATATGTTGCATTCCAGTTGATGATTAGAGCATCCCTAACACTTTGTGCAGTTGCAAAGAAAGCTTTTGGCAGTTCAAATTTCTCAGGAGAAAACAGAGGCGTGAACTCTGCGTGGTACTTGATGCTGGAGGCTATCGATGAAGCATCGGGAGAAAATGGATTCAACGAGCTAATGGGTTCTGAGTCAAGGCAAAAACAAACAAAAAAAGAATCCCATCAAAACCTCTTAACTATGATGTATTTGGAAAATTTTCAACTTGCAAAAATGACCCAGAACGCTACGATGAATTTGATCAGCAATCACAAAGGAAGAAGCAACATCAGACGCCAAAGTTTTTTTTTTGGTTGTTAAAATTCAACATTACAGTATGCAGTAGCATCGCACTAAACGCGGAATTAGGAAGGTAATTTTAGAAGGATTGAGACAAAGGTATAACATTGCGACGAAGATTTGAATGAGGAACAATGGGTTTGTACGGACCTTGTTCGCAATCGGTGACAGAATCAGTCACCTCCTTCTCCTTGGGCTCACTCCACACAGACTTCACAACTGGAAAATGCCTCCTCTGCGGCACCGGTCTCCAGCTCCGGCGAGTCGCCGGAAACACCCTAGTCCTCCATCTCCCGCCGACGAAGCTCGACAACGAGTTGTTGCACCCCACAAACGTCTCCGCTCCAGTCGATGCACCGGAGAATCGCATCGTCGCCATTGCTTCTCTCTCTCTCAGTGAACGAATTCAAAGTGAGAGAGAACACCGAAAATGTCGATCGTTTATACCAAAAAAAATGTCGATCGTTCCTCTGAACTCTCGTTCCGGGTAGTAGACGATATATGCCACGTGGCGTTGCGTGATTGGAGATTGTGCTGGCTAAGCCCGTGACAGGTCACGTTTTAAGCCGATTCTCCAAGTGGTAGTGTAATGACCGAGGAGGAGTTGTTTGGCAAAGTGAGATATTTGTAAGGGGAAAAGCGACAAGCGAAATTATTTTCCTTTTTGAATGATTTTCCTTGTCAGCTTATTATATAAACCGAGAAGACACGAGAACCGTACACGTGTAAGGTCTCATTACCGTAGAATTTGTTTACAAGTTCACCTCTGTACCTAATAGGGGTGGGCATTCGGTTCGGGTATTAACCGAACCGACCGATATATACCCGAACCGAACCGAACTGAACCGAATAAAATTAAATAACCGTTTGGTTAAGATTTTTTAAAACTCGAAATAACCGAAACCGAACCGAACCGAACCGATTAAAAATTATTAACCGTTTGGTTATAAATTTTTATAAACCGAATTAACCGAACCCGAACCGAATCAAACCGAACCATTTATATATCTTCATTTATATACATATATGATTGTTTATATTATTGATTTAATCATTGTTTTATTATGAATTTAAATTTAGATATTATTATTTTATATGTTAAAATAATTATGATAATATTTTATATTATATTTTATTTGAATATTTTTAATTATAAATAAATTGATTTTTTAAATATTATAACCGAACCGAACCGAATCTTTATTTGGTTATAGTTTGGTTATAGTTTTAAATAGACAAAGCCGAGCCAAGCCGAACCGAACCGAATAAAATTAATTAACCGTTTGGTTATGAATTTTAATAACCCGAAATAACCGAACCCGAAATAATCGTAACCGATTAACCCGTAACCGACCGTTCGCCCACTCATAGTACCTAATGTAAAAAGCCAAATCTATTCTCTTCAAACTCTAATGGAGAGCATATAGATATATATTGCAATAAGAGTGGAACGACACTTGTTGAAACTTGAGGAGAATTACAATAACAATATCAAGATTAGACGCCATTGATGTACCCTAAGCAAGCTCATCACCCAAATCCATTGATAATAGACAAACCAAGAATAGGGTTTTCCTCTCCATCAGATCAAGAACACAAATGGTCTGAATCAGTGCAGAAGAGAGAATCCGGAAACAAGCCAAGACAATTGCCAGAAACTGTCTTCCAAATGAATTAGGAGATTCACCATGGCTCTGGCTCAAGGTTCCATTTTTAGTGGCAATGGAGGAGAGAACATCAAACCTCCCTTTTGACATTGGAACTCACTCTTGTGTTCACTTTCTCCTGTATAACTTACATTTCTCTCGGGTGTTGTTTCTCCTTCGCTACCCATTGAAGAAGACTCTTCTTCCTCTGAACCAGCTTCTTCTTCTTCTTCTTCAGCATCTTCCTTCTCCTTTGGCACATACTTGATTTCCTCAACCTCGTCGTAACCGTTCTCTTTCCCGTCTCCATTTTCACTGTTCGATCCATTCGTGGAATTTTCATCTTCCCCAATTGAACTTGACTCAGGTGTATCTCCATAAACCCTATACACATTCCCCTTCTCATCAAAGCTCACAGTTTTTACCACCCGGGATTTTGTTCCAGCGCCTTTCGCCAAAACCCCGTCTCTAGTTTTCGAACTATGGCTCGTTCCATTACCAGAAGACATCATTACTATCTCCTCGCCATTTTTAAGTGAATCACCCTCCTCGCTTGAAGTCAGTTTCATGGCCATTTCCATAAACCTGATACACATTCCCGTTCTTGTTGAACCTCATGGTCTTAGCCACCCGAGATTTCAACCCATCATTGCCTTTCACTAGAATACCATTTCTAGATTTCCAATTTCCAACCTTTCTATTCTCATCAGAAACAATAGGGATATATTTGCCTTTATCAGTCACAAAGTGAAACTCTTCTAGCTCTGAAGTGTTTTCCTCGTCTCCATTGGAGGAAGGAATAAAGCTCTTCTCCGTTCGTTTCTTCACTTTCTCTGTGTTTTTATCTTCATATGAACCAAAATCCTGACGTTTGGATCCCAAAGTCCTGCATTTGCTGCTGCTTGCAATAAAGCTCATATCTTCTGCGGATTTACGGATAATCTCGTACCTTTTGACAGCACAACCCTCAATGTACTGTAGAAACCTAACCAAATCTCTACTCAATGATTTCCGCTCGTCTCGTAACATTGAATCATCCCTGCTCTGGAAGCCCAAGTATTGAAAAATAACACTAAATCAAAACCCAGCAAAAAAAAGAAGCTTCGAAGAATTCAAAAGAGCATAATCTGAATACGATACGATACCTGAATAGAATCAAGCTGCAAAAGCAAATCCATGGCTTCTCGAGAAGCAGCTTCGAAAGGGAAATGGGTTTTGCCCGAAACTGAAGATTTGAGAGACAGGAAGCTGGATTTTATGGCCGAAAGCTCCTTGAGTTGCCTAAGGGATCTGGATCTGCGAACCAGGTAGGAACGAAAATGGGTCTGAATGACACGTGCCGCCGAATCTCTTAGAGTTAACGAACCACGACGATGATCCAAAGAAGCCGAAAACCGATTGAACGAAAAATCGAGATCTTCGATTTTCCGGAGAAGAGAAGACAAGACGGAATGGTCGTAATCTCGTTGAAAGCTCTTCCGCTGTTGCACAAAGCGTTGTCCTTTGAACCCTTCGAAGCTCCGGCAAGAGGTTTCACAGAAGTGGGTCTGATCACAACAATGCGTTTCTTGTATCTGTTCCTCGAGATAAGCGGAGACGAGACGAAGGAGATGACCCAACGACGGCGGAGGAAGGTGGTCGGACTTGGTTCGGCAGGGACTAGAAATGCCGGAGCAGCAGCAACACGATGACGCGGCGGGAAGGTGGATGGTCTCTTGGTGGTTGTGGCGGCGACAGTGACCGCGGTCGTGATGGTTACGGTGGCGAGACGCCATGGATTCTGCGGCGGAGGAATTTGGGAGATGGAGGGCTCTTTGACCAGTGGGCCTCCTGCTCGATACTTTTTGAAACAAAAGGGAAACCAAACCAAACCGGTCGAACCAAATAAATCCAGACCCGACCGTACCTCCTTTATTTTTGTTTTAATTTTTTTTAAAAAACGAATGGAACACAAAAAAAAAAAATATGATAATGAAAAGAAAATAAATTTCGATAAAATCTATACAAATAAAATCGAATTAATTTTAATTCGGTCTATATTCGATTTCTAATACTTTAACCCAAACGAATCCAAACTCAAACTAAAGTGCAATGTCTATCTAAACTCATTGTGGACACGCCATGAAATCCACCTCTGAACTCTTAACCCGGCACACATTCTGTCTACAAGTCGCTCCTTCGTAAGACGTCACGCAGTCCACGTTCCATAATCGAGTCCGGCACGCATTCCATCCGCAACGCACGTGTTTATAAACTCGTCCCCGACCGTTGTATTAAAGTGATCGGATGCTGTTTAAATGAATGGAGGCAAAGTCGTACTAACCATCAAACAGTATCAGTCTCTCTTGAATCACTATGCAGCAACTCAATCAATCTACAAAGCCAAGGCGCTTCACTGCCACATCATCACCGGTGGTCTTCTCTCCGATCACCTACGGTCGAGCCTCTCCGTCACATATGCCATGTGTGGTCACATCCCCTACGCCCGCAAGTTGTTCGATGAATTGCCTCAAAGTTCCCTGCTTTCGTACAACATTGTCATCAGAATGTATGTGCACGATCGACTGTATCAGGATGCTATCAATGTGTTTGTTGGGATGATTGGTCGGTGTTGTCCGGATAGTTATACATACCCTTTTGTGGTGAAGGCCGCCGCAGAGCTGAATTCGATAAAATTGGGTTCGGTCCTTCATGGAAGGATCTTGCGAGGATGGTTTGGTTCAGATAGGTATGTGCAGAACTCGTTGCTGGCGATGTATATGAACTGTGGGAGGGTCGAGTTGGCAAGGAAGGTATTTGATGGTATGAAGAATAGGGATGCGATTTCTTGGAACACGATGATAAGTGGGTATTATAGAAATGGGTTCATGAATGATGCTTTGATGACTTTTGATCGAATGGTTTATGGGGGCGTTGAACCGGATCGAGCCACGGTGGTCTCTGTGTTACCCGTTTGTGGTCACTTGAAGGATTTGGAAATTGGAAGGGAGGTTCATAAGTTGGCCGAAGAAAAGGGGCTGGCGGATAAATTAGAGGTGAAGAATGCATTGGTGAACATGTACATGAAGTGTAATCGCATGGATGAGGCGAGGTTTGTCTTCGATAGAATGGAGAATAGGGACGTGATCTCATGGACTTCTATGATTAACGGGTATATAGAAGATGGTGACCTAAAAAATGCTTTAGATTTGTGTAGATTAATGCAGTTTGAAGGTGTAAAGCCTAATGCTGTGACTATAGCCTCTCTTGTTTCAGCATGTGGTAGTGCATGTGAACTGAAAGATGGCCAATGTTTGCACGGTTGGGCGATAAGGCAAATGGTTGATTCTGAGATCATTATAGAAACCGCTTTGATCAGCATGTATTCTAAATGCAAACGCATAGATCTTTGCTTCAAAGTACTTTCAGGAGCTTCAGAAAAGCAAACGGGGACATGGAGTGCGATCATAGCTGCATGTGTACAGAATCAACTTATGAGGGAAGCACTAGAACTATTCAAAAGGATGCGACGGGAAGATGTAGAACCAAATATAGCCACCTTAAACGGCGTCCTTCCAGCATTTGCAGTGGTGGCTGATATGAGACAAGCAATGGATATCCATTGCTATCTGACCAAATCCGGGTTTATGTCAAGCATTGAAGCATCTACATGTCTGATCGATGTCTACTCAAAGTGTGGAAGTTTAGAATCTGCCCACAAGATCTTCGATGCGATTCCACGAAAATACAAGTGCAAAGACGTGGTTCTATGGAGTGCATTGATCTCTGGGTACGCGATCCACAGTGATGGTCCTAACGCATTGATGGTTTTCAGAGAAATGCTTCGGTCTGGTGTGAAGCCAAATGAAGTTACTTTCACTTCAGTCTTACATGCTTGCAGCCATACTGGTTTGGTGGATAAAGGTTTAACAATCTTCGAGTTTATGCTTGAACATCATAGGACGGCAGTTCGGTCTAACCATTTCACTTGTGTAGTTGACCTCCTTGGACGAGCAGACAGGCTAAAGGAAGCATACGATCTTATTTCAGCTGTTCCATTTGAGACTGGTCCTGCTGATTGGGGTGCATTGTTAGGTGCTTGTGTAATACATGAGAATGCTGAGCTCGGGGAAGTGGCTGCCAATAAACTATTCGAGCTGGAACCTGAAAACACTGGAAACTACATGTTGCTGATGAAGATTTATGGGTCGATGGGCAGATGGAAAGATGTGGAGAATGTACGGAACATGATAACAAGTATTGGATTGAGGAAGAAACCTGGTCTTAGTCTAGTTCAGGCGAGTGGTAGTACATCAAGGTGATAGAAACTAAGTACTTGTACTTGAGGAAGGACGCTTTCTATAATTGGATCATGTCAAAAGCATGAACAAAAAGAATCCACGTTTTTACAGTTCTGACGCATCATTGCCCCGGTTTAAATAAAAAATCAATTTGAATACAGGTTTGATATACGGTTTGGGTCTCAAACCGTATACCATTTGGAACTAAGATCAGTCTTTCTTCAAGTTCTGAAGCATCATCGCTCGGGTTTTGCCATCCGGTTTCAGACCAATCTCTCGCATTCTTAAGTACAGCTTCTTTGCCAACTTCACCTCACCTCTTAGGCACATCCCATGTATTGCAGCGTTGTAAAGAGACACATCAGGTTCCACCCTCTGTCAAGAAATAAAACAATATTTTGTCCATTCATCAGTTGCAATAGAAAAACAGTTTTGTAAACACATAATCACAGTTGCAGAAATCCAGATTTGGTATTCAGAGAATCTGACAGCTTTGTTGCATATCAAGGTTGAGAAGATTTCATCAACATACAATATGAATTGACCCTTAGAAGAATACATTCAGAAATATAAACATTTTTACCTTGAGAATTTCTTTGACATCATCCCAATGTGATCCCCAGATGCAACTTCTAATGAGTGACAAATGCGTAAAAGTGTCAGGATCACATTTCCTGTGAACCATGTGCTCGTAAACTTGCAATGCAACTTTCGGTAACCTTGCATTCTCGCAAGCACCAATCACCAGGTTATACGATGAAGTTGAAACTGATTTTAAACCCGAGCCTTCCATCTCATACAGTAGCTTGATAGCATTCTCCCAAGAACCAAGCTTTTGGCATGCCATCAAAACCGTATTGTACAAATGCTCATTCGGTTGACACAGATTTTCACTTCTTACTGCATTGAACAGTTGGATCACATCCACATACCTATTTGCTCTGTATAGGGCTGTAAGAAGAGCATTCCAAGTGTACTCATCAGGTATATGACCCAAAGATTTCGCAATACCGTAGACCTTAAACACTAACTTGACTTTGCCCGCCTTCCCAAGCGAGTTGATCAAAGTATTGCACGCCACGAGATTAGGCTTCAGCCCGTTTTCTAACATACTCTGAAAGATGTTTAGGGCCAAATCCCGTTTTTCTTCCCTTGCACACACACTTATCATTGCATGCATTGTATCAGCTCTTGGTGTGATATTGTTTTCTATCAATTCATCATAAGCATCGAGGGCTAAATTGTTTCTGCCACACCGGGCAAAAACGCTTACCAGCAGGGAATATGTTATCTCTGTCCCCTTATGGCCATCTTCTTTCATAATTGTCCATATCCTCTCCGCCTCATTCGCGTTGTTCATCCTTCCACATATGGAAATCATTGTGTTGTACAGAATTACATCGAAGTAAACCTTATGCTTTGGATCTCCTTCAAGCTGTTTAAACATATCCAGAGCAAAATCACAACCCTTTATCTCGGAAACAGCTTTGAGTAACAAACCATACGTATGTCCTGTGATGTTCTCTTTTGTCCACATAAACTGAAAGACACTGAAGGCTTTGCCGAGATTCCTGTTCCTCAATAGGCACGAGAGTAGAGAATTACAGGCATGAGTATTGGGTTTCAAGCCCAAGAACCTCATCGAATCAAACAACTCTGTCGCACTCCTGATCTTATTCACCCTACTAAGTCTCAGAATTCGTTTCGATAGAATCTCTTCATTCCTCTCCTCGAGAAAATGGATCCTAGTCTCAGTCCCAGCAGGCACCAATGTCATGACCGAGCTTTTGGACAAATCATCCTCACACTCAAGCTCAACTTTTAATCTCTGGTGAACTAAGAAATTGCTCAGAGAATCAGGTTTCTGTTCATGGCAGCCAATCTCTTGCTCTTCTTCCTCATTCCTGAAAACACCCTCAAAATCCAACCCTGAATCCAGATTTTCACTGCCTTGCTCAATGTTCACGTCACTGAAACACATCCTCGGGGTTGTACTCGGTGTAAATGATTCCATCTTCACACTACCATTAACAAGACGCCTTCTTTTCGGATTTATGGACAATGTAAAGTCGAACGAGCGACCGCAAGACCAATCCCCAATTCTCCGACCACTCCAGTTCTTCCTAGAGGGATACCATCTACAAGTGAACTGACTCGTTGTACCAGTGGCTGAGACAGGACACCATAAAACCTCCGCCATTGATACTACCAACAGAGAGATGTTTGAACAAAGCGCAGAAATTTACGCCTCGAGCTTACCACTTTAGCAGAATCAACGTAGCGAAGAGTATAATCCAGTTGAATGAGAAAAATCAAGATGACGTGGCGAATCATATGCCGAAAAAGTTGAGAACTTCACGAACTTTTGGGTACTTGGAACTCGGGAGAAATCAGCAAGAGGAATACCCACTTCGAATCTGAGCAAATTAACCCTGAATTTGTCTGTCCAAGCAGCGCAGAGATTTAATAACCATTACCAAATACCTTCAACAGAGAAGCGGCAAGGGGGAAAAAACAGTTTTCCACCAGAAAGGATGAACAACTTCCTGTAGTAATCCGATTCTCGTGATGAAATCAAGCTGGGAAAACGCTACTGCTGCAGTCAAGTCGAGGGTGAGACCGGGAGATATATCAAACCCAGAGCAAAACGACGTAGTTTTATGCTGAAGGGTGATTAGATTAAATCGGGGCATTTACAAAAATGACTTTAAATGTCATTTTGATTTCAAGGGTGACCTTGAAATGTTGATAATTCCAATTTTGTCCTTCAATATAATAATTATATTTTATTGTTATTTTATTCAGGAGACTTTATTTCGTTTTCGAAAAAACTTAATATTTCTTTTATTCGGTTTAGCGTTTCTTCTAAAAATGGGAGCCAATGTCCATTATAATTATCTTTCGATGAATGTTTTCTAAAATATTCAATTTTTATTTCTTTTATTGTAATTAATTTATTTAATTCTGTAATTATATTGTTAATTTGTTCTTTTTCTATTGTATTTTGTATGCATCTTAGTTTACTTTCTGTTTCTAAATATTGTACTGGTGCGTTTAATAATTCGATATTTTTCTTGTATATTTTTTCCATTTTATTCGTCAGAATTTATAATATCTCGTTTAATCTCTCTTACTGCGTTAAATATTGCACTAATCATTCTTATTCTTCGATTTTCCTTATTAAGTTCATTTCGTTCAATTGTTCCATAAGTTCGTTCTCTGAATATACTTTCTATAGTTTCAACTAATAATTGTTCAAGATGATCTAGGCATGGTAAACTTTCAAGATTTAATAAGGATAGTTTTTCGATAAAGTCTTCGTTGAAATTCATTTTGTAAGATTATTGATTTGTGATATTGTTTTTCGTAATTTAGAGTAATCTTCCGGGTTTTCTTCTGATTGTTCAGTGTTGAATAATAGAGATGGTGATTCTTGTATACTTAATCTTGGGTTAAGTCGTAACAACGATTTCCGTCCTGGTTCTATTGCAGTTAATGGTCTTTTTAGACAGATTACTGGTTTAAATAAATCATCTATTTCTATAATCTCTTTGTTTCTAAAATTTAAACTGTGATGACTATTGGTTAATGCGTAGTTAATCTGATAGGTTATAGAAAAAGGGTGATTTCCTTTTTCCATGAAATCTGTTCTATCTAGTTTGTATTGGATAACTATTGAATTATCCAAGTCTTTATCTTTCAACGATAATCCGAGTTGTATATTAATGTTAAATTTAATTTTTCCAGAAGAAAGATTTCCTTTTCCTTCGGCTATAATACTTTCTTTATAATTGGTTAATCTGTCATCTCTAATTTGAAAGGTAATCGGAGAATCGATACCTTCTTTGAATGTTGATTTTATAATTATTTGAATAGTACTACAGTGTATGTAGGCTATTTGTTTTCTTTGTTTTTCGGGACAATTTCTGAGTCGTTCTAAGATTTGTTCTTTGTTAATAATTGGGAGAATGAGTTCTCCTGTAGTTTGTTCAATTGGTACTGGTGTTTCTCCAACCATTATTCCGAACTTTATTATGTTTGTTCTCGATAATTGTTTCTTTATTTTTCCTAGTATAGTCTGTTCGAAGTTTTCATCTTTTTGGAGATCAAAACTTATTTTTCGTATTTTGTTTATATCTATAATTCCATCAAAGAAATATTCTTCATCTGATTGTATAAAATTATCGAATGCAGAAGTTGATGCCATACCTGATTCGTTTTTGTAGATAATCCCTGTCGGTTGGTGTTGGTGAAGATCGTTTCCTCGTTGGTGATCCGGAGATCTGATCGGTTTTTTGATATTGTTCAGGGGCGGTGTTTAGTTCCAGAGTTCTGGAGTAATTGATTTGGGATTCAAAAGAATCTATTCAAGGCCTCCAGAAGATATAGATCTTCAAGCCAATCTCCTGAGAGAGATCTTTCAGAGAGAGTTCTGAAACAAATTCGTTTATTTCACTCTGCCTTCTCCAAATGGAGAGGTCACATATTTATACAGCTTTGGAACCCTTATCAGCTAAGAATGGAATCTCATGCTGGGGCCCGACTCTTACACTCGACACTACATAATTGCACAATATAGATTACAGAGATAAGGTTTCTGATCACCTTATCTTTTTTTTGGGTCCGACATATTACATCAACTAGTCACATGGTTTCTTTATTTCACATGTCTTCAGACTTTTCTGATGGTGGTTGGCTGGTCCTTTTTATCTTGTCCTTTATCTCTTTGCAGATAGTGCATTTGTGGTCGTCATACCTCATCAGGAAGCTACAGAGCTGTTCCTTGATAGATTCCTCTAGTCCTGCGAATTTTCCTTCTAAATGATAGAAGTCTAATTCGAAATCTGCTACGGCTTGCATTTCTTCCTTCGAGATAGTTTCCTTGTTGTAGGTGATCATTAGCACATTACTGCTAGCATAATTGACTTTGATCTCTGAATCCGCAAGGATCCTTCTTGATGCCTTAAAAACTTCGAGTAATGAATGAGCTTCTAAATCATCTGGAATCTCATAATCTGATACATCATCTCTTGGAGGCAATTCTCCCTTTGCTACTCCGAGGTGTATTACTGCCTGTGACTGTATAATCTTATCATTTCCGAAGATCGGGATTGAACTCTTAATCTTCATGAAAATAGTTCTTTCCTTCGCGAATCGTTCAAAGTAATTTCTGATAATTGGTTTCATCTTTCGTGGAAATTCTTCGAATATTCTCATCGAGTCAGTATAGATACTGTCGACTAGTCCGTGTTGAAGGTAATCGAAGGCTAGTAATGGGTTGGCTTCTCCAATGAAGATAGCCTTTGGTCCGGTTCTGGTCATTTTTGGGTAAAAACCCATGGTAGTGTGTTTTTCCTTGTAGTCCACCAGAGACGCCCAGTAGGACTGATACTTCTCGAGGGTTACCTTTTTCAGGGCCTCTTTTTCCTGTGTGGTTGGTATTTGGGCTATTTTGGGTATTTTCATTGAGGGTAGTTGTGCCCTTGGTTCAACTGGTTGTTTTTGGGCCATGGTTTTGTATGATTCGTTCAAGGCTTTTTGGGCTTCTTCTTTAGTTTGGAAGGCCTGGTGTGAGACTTTCTTTCCTTTGGTATGTTGCGAAAATATCGCATAATCTACGTATATTCCTCTGAATGGTCCACTAAAGATAGCGTACCATTTGTTCGGTTTTTCTTCCACCTTGATGTCGGTAGGAAGTGTTACCTTATCTGATTCTTTTTCTTGTTCTGATTTTTGATCTTCTACCGGTGTTCCACCAGTTGCTTTTATGATAATGTTCAAAGATTTGATCAGCTCCTCCCTCTCCTCAAAGAGTTTTGAGAGATTTTCTTGAATCATTTTAATCTGATTGTCTTTCTGACTGATCTGATTCTGAATTGTCTTGATTATTCCTTCCATTCTCTTGTTAGCGTGTCTGCAAAACAATTATTTGCGGACTTAATATATTTAATATATGGTTCAAATTGATGTAATTCTAATTGCCATCGAATTAATCGTCCTTTTTGAAATTCTGGTTGAATTTTATATCTCCAGAATCCTGTTACGTATTGTGAATCAGTTCTTAATTCGAACCGTGTTTGTAATAAATCAATTTTCCATTTCTTTAGAGTTCGAAGACAAGCAAGTGTTTCGAGCTCATGAATTGGATAATTCATCTCAGTTTTTGAAAATGTTCCTGAAATATATTTGCATAGTATTGTATTTTGTTTTTCGGTTTTTGGTACTTCATTATTATTGGTACGACCGTATTGGTCAAGATGGAGTAATTCTTTTCCATCTTTTATTGCTAACATGCATCCTGCCCAAACATCTTTGGATGCATCTGTTTCAATAATCAGAAAGTATTTGGTCGTTGGATTGTATAACTTTGGTAGTATCTTTATATTTTCTTTTATATGTTTTACTAAATTTGTATCTTGATTAGTCCAAGACCATGATACTTTGTCTGATATTTTCTTTTGTAATTGTTTTCGTTCCTTTGATAGGGATTTGAGAAATCCCTGTTCGGAAATATAATTAAGACACCCAAGGAACCTTTGTATTTGTTTTCTGTCTGTCAATTCATTAGGAAAATGTTGTATTTTTTCATGTACATTATTTGTTAGTTCAATTTCTCCGTTATTATTTATTTTTAATCCAAGATACTCAATTTCTTGTTGTACCAATTTTGATTTCTTTTTAGAAATAATTAATCCTTTTTCTTTGCATCGTTCTAGAACAGTGATTAATTTTTCAGTGTGTTCTGATTGTGATCCGTTTGTAAATATTATGATATCATCAATGTATGCTAGACAATATTCTTCTAATCCACGGAGATTTCTATCCATGAGTTGTTGATATATTGCTGGTGCTTGTTTTAATCCGAATGGAAGAACATTCCATTCATAATGTTTTTGTGGGGGGCATGAGAA